CAGCTGCCCAGCAATGAGGCAGGAATACAGCACAAAATGGAGATTGTATACATTTAAAACAAACAAACAAACAAAACCACACATCAAATATTCGGCAGTATTGAACACTCTGGTACTGAATGGGTGAAAGACTGAAGCACTAACAGCCATCCCAAAATCTCTTGAAGACAGTGGTGACCTGGGGGTCAGAGGAAAGGGAGAGATGAGCTGGTCGTCCAGTAAAGCAGAGTAAAGCGGAGCATGGATGGTCAAGAAGATGCAACATCAAAAGGCTGAACAGCCTCTACGTGAACCCTCTGAGGACACTGCAATGGAAAGAGACAACCAAATAGCATTTCTCAAGAGCAAATTGGGTAACAGAACAGCCTTTCTGACATCTGGCTCTGTGGCTAAGAAGGAAGCTGATATATCCAGTTTCAGCAGGGCACTGTTTCACATGTGTGCCTGTTTTAATATGGGAATTTAAGGCTGCCCTACATGACAGCAGGCTGCTGAAGATGTGCATGAGTCCTTGCAGCTCTGACTTGCATGTTCACTCATTTATGTGCATCCAGAGAAGATGCAGAGGACAGTGATCTTTATTCTGTGCTTTGTGGGCAAATTATCTCAAAATACTTTTTCTTCAGAGGTTGCCAATAATTGCTAGAAATTCCCAGTCAGGAATGATAACCGCAGCAAGGCCAGGCCAGGTGATGGCTCCCATGCCATTAAAATGATTAGCAAACAACAGGAGATGAAATACACCCTGAGGGTTCTCCTCCCTTGGCTCTGCTGCAGGTATTTGCTCAAAGTGCCTGGGGATGAGCCAAGCTGGGCTGGCATTGCTGTCACCCATCTGCTCTTGCTCCACAGGGGACAAACCAATGCACTGTTTCTCCTTGGGGCTCTTACTAGCCCCCCATACTCCTGAAACCCTCCCCACAATGGCTGAGCACTTTCCATGTCATGGTTATCAATTTCTGAGTTGCACTGGTGTCTCTCTTCCCTCTCAGCAAGGATGTCACCTTGCCAAGGGCTGGGAAAGGCACAGTTAAACAATTTTGGGAGGTGTTTCGCCATGAAGGGCTTGCAATCACCTCCTGAGACTTGCAAATGTCAGGACCAATTATTCAGAAATGTGCTTTTTGCAATGACTGCATCCAGGTTGGAGAGGAAGACCTGGGCTGGGCCAGTGGCATGGGCCTGCCAGCAGAATTGAGCACCGTGCCACAGCAAAGAGGTCACCGAGGTGACAAGAGCCAGTCCCACCTGAGGAATGTTTGATTCAACAGGAATTCCCCACCATCAATGCCAAGACCAAAGCATTTGGAAAAACACAATGCCAACTTTGGCTCCAAAAATCCTTTTCCCTTTCTTGTTATCCATAGTCACAAATAATCCATCGCAAGAGTCTCACAAGCCCCTGTGCACCAAGACCCCTCCGTCCCCTCTGGAGGAAAGCCTTGTTTGGACTTACTGGCATTTTGCTTATGCCTTGACTCCTCCTGACGCCACTGAGGTTTTCCAACACAGTGCATCAGTTCTGCCTGTGGGTGTTTTTCAGCACTTAAGTAAACAGCAGCAGAACCATGTTTACAGAAGCACATTTTGCCTCCTTGTTGCCCTGCAGCCTGCTGAGCTGCTCCAGAGCAGCGGCCATGATCCTCATCCAGTTTGCAGTGACCCACCTCTCTGGGTACCAGACGTCACCCTTCCTTTCTTCTGAATTGGACCAGACCCCTAAACCCATTTTTGCCCAGCTTAAGGTGTTCAAAGAAAGGTGTGACTGTGGAGCTAAGATGAAGTACTAGGAGAAGGACAACTGTAGCAAGGCCAAGGGCAAAATCCATCAAAATACCTGGGAAAATAGTGTGCATTTTCTTATGGCCACACCACTCCTTGTAACAGCTCTAGTTTCATTCATACTAGAGGTGTCTTCAGGTCTATCTACAGAACCAGGTCATGGAGGTGGCTGCAGCAGAGATGCTCTGAAACTGAGTCAGACTGATGGCTGGAGATGAGGTCCCTCATTCACTTCACAAGTTAATGCTCTGTGGTCATGGTTTTTATGGATGATCAGTTGTCTGCAGCCCATGGATTAATTTGACAACTAATTTTTTAGAGGTGTTTGCACTTCTTGAGGAGAATCACAAGGCTGAGGAGTCTCTTCTTCAGAAAAGCTCAGGTCTCACGTCAGCACTCAGATAACTGCTCTGTTTTTACCAAGATCCTGGAGCACTGGGTTCTGTGCTTTACAGAAAACATGGCCTCAAGTAGCCTGATATAAACTGCAAAGTGCTGAGCACTTATGATCGTAATTTGCTGTTTACAAGGGGAATGAGCTGTTCTGAAAACCCAGCTCAGATTATGGGTTTCAAATACTAGAAAATCTGTCCCTGAGCTCTTAATCCAGTTTATGGGCTCATCACGAATGGAGCTGAGCCATTCTTGGAAGAAAAACTTGGCAAAAGCAGGTCTTTCTCCGCCGTATCAGTAGAAACACATTCAAAGCTCAGGCCAACAAATCTAGATTGGGGAGTAAATAAAACCTGTAGCAGCCTCTCTCCATGGCTGAGAGAAGCGGTGATATTGGGGCAGCAGCCAGAGCTAATTGCACAGGAACGGCGCCGACACCAAGACTCACTTCTCGTGTTGCTCTCCAGATCATGCACCTGGATGGGAGCTGAACGCTCCTCGGCTCCAGTCAAGCTAAGCCTGCCTGTGCCAAAGAGCTGTCTTGTGCAGCCCTACCAAAACCAGCAGCTTGTGCTTGATACCATCAGTGCATACAAACGTCTTTGCAGAACAAGACACGGGGAGAGAAGTTCAATTCTCCTCCCCCAGCAGCATTGCATCAGTACGGTGTGAGTCTGCTGCTGGGGTCAATAGAGTTGCTCTCCCCCTGTTTATACTTAGTGGGAAGAAAACCAGACCTGAATATGGCTATTCTTTTTTAAAAGTCTCTTCTAACAATAGCTCTCTTTCAGTAGTTTATTTACTGCCCATCTGTGACTCCAAAGTAAAATCTGTTCAGCTGTTGACCTAAAAGACTTCCCCTTCACAGCTAATCCTCAATGATCCTTTCTGTTTTCTGGCAGCTAGGCTGAATTTTCTCTCTATGGCCCACATCAATAAATCATACATTATCTATGCTTGAATTTGGTTAAGACTGTGGCTAATGATGCATGGGATAGCAGAGGACTCAGTCTTAGTTGTGCCGCTCAGTAAAACAGGTTGGAGTAAAAAAAATAGCTAAGATGGATTTTTGCCATTAAAAATCAACTTGTCTGATTTAGTGCATGGGTAGGAGCAGATGTGCTGATTAAAATCATGATGCATTTGTGGAGTCTCACACATCAGCAGGGGAAATATGAAGTGGAAGAAGAGGCTGAGAAGTTTTTGCTGCCAAGTAGACACAGTGAGCGCCACGGGGCAGCTGGCTGGGAGCAGGAGATGTTCTCCCAGACCAGGAGACCTCGGGCAGCGCCAGATGTTCCGAGGCAGTGGCTGCAGGACAACCTCTCCTCCAAGACCTCTCGCCACCCGCCTTTTCTCTTTAGCTTAGCACCATCTAGAGGGATGCATCTGCAAACCCGAGGCGGCAGCTCTGCGGTGCGTGTCGGGCAAACACCCATCTGAAACGCGGGGGAAACCAAACAATTGAAAGCAAAGCCTCAACAGAACAGTTTCCTCCTCCAGCCGCCTTCACTATTGGTTAAAGCACAAGGCTGTGGTGCAGTCATTCCCCTTGTCCTGGTGAGGTCTTCTGTGAAATGGGAAGATGGGTCCTCCAGAGAGGATTGGAGGTTGGGGGTTTTAGGGGAGAGAGGACTAGAGGGGAATGCTCATGGTTTGTGGTTTTTATCTTGATTTTAAAAAAAAACAAAAAAAAACCAAAAAAAAAAACCCAAACATCTACAGATCTTGCATCACATACTCCTGCAGGCTTCAATGACATTTGATGATGTGATGGCGAGCCCTCTATGGCTTAGAGGTCATTCTTCATGTCTGTTTGAGCCTTTGCCTTTCACTAACACCACACAGCAGCATGACAGGACACCAACTGAACTAAAGGTTTCTATGCTGCATTTTACAGTTTGCAGCCTAGTGCATCAGAGCTTACTCAAACCTCCCATCTTGGAACACCAGAACAAGACCAAGGGCAAGGTGGAGCGACATTAGCTCCTCTCTCTCTCACACACTGATCTTGTGCTTTCTTCTGCAGCAGCCCAGGCTGCAATACCTGCGCTCCATCAACCACATCTCTGGACAACCTTATATAATCCCAAGGCAAGGCCATCGAAACCAAAGTCTGATCTGCCTGAGCCTGTCAGTGCTTGGTTTGGAGGCAGGAAGCACATTGCCCTGATCAAAGGGCAAAGCAGAAGCTTTCGGAGTTCACCTGACTCAGAGATTAAGGAATACATACCAAACACAAACCACAGCAAAGTTTTGCAAAGGATACACAAAGCCTGCATTTCTTTAGTAACTGACTGCAGTGACCCCGAGGACAAAAACGAAGCCGTGCTCTGGAGGTGGTATGGGGGAAAGACCCTGGAGAAACCAAGGCCAGTGCTAACTGTCTACATCTTGTCTGCAAGGGATGTCACCCTTACCTTCCCCTGCATACAACAGGACGCAGTGTAAGAGGGTTTGAGGGTCTGGCTGCGGGAGGGAAGGACATTCTCATCCCTGCAGTGTTCAGACAGCAGCAGGAAAGGAGAAGAAATGTCCCTTTCTTCATCTCTGCTCCACACAAGCAGAGTGCAAGCTGCAGCAATCCTCTCCAGCTCCACTTAGAGATCACAGCACAAGGTTCACCTCCCCACAGCTCAAACCCGCGTCCTCCATAAGGCACAAAGCACCAGCAGCAGCTCCTGCAGCCAAGGCCAAGCCGCCTTTCCAGCAGGGTTGGCTCAGACCTCAGTGCCGCTGCTTGAGTGCTTTCTCCTTTGCGGGAGGCGCAGGGATCCCACGCCTGGCATGTAGAGCCCTGCCTGGAGGCAGTGCCAGGCTGAGCCTGCCTCCCGGCCTGAGCGGGTGTGACTGGAGCAACATCCCTGCGGGAGGGGAGGCAGGAGGAAGCGGGGCTGTAGAGAAATAAAACCACTGCAGAGCTGACTGCGAGAGGAGGAGACAGGCTGGCTGGAAAGGACAGCTTTGCTGAGCCCAGGAGAAAATGGTTTGAGTAATTATCAATGGTAAGGAAATGTCTCGTTTGAGGCAAGAGAGCTTGGAGGGATTTCTGCACGGTAAATACGCTGCGTATTTTATGGCCTTGGCTTGTGGGGGGAGAAAGGCTGGTGCTGGAGCGGTTTGAAACACAGCCAGGACACCAGACACAGTAAGTCCCTTTTAGCCCATTAAATCCAGTCCCCCCTGTTTCCTCTTGTTACTTTTGGCCATAACCCAACACAGTCCAACGGAGCCCCGAGCTGATCCTCCTCTGTGAGGATCCCCAGCTCATAAACAGGTCCCGCTCTGAGCTCTCTGGGAAGGGTTTTTCAGGGTGGCTGGTGTTTTTCATTGCTGCAGAGAGCAGACAGGTCTCTCCTTTTCTCTCCAGCCTGCCGCTATGTGGCCAGGAAGATGGGGACCCTGTGCAGCCGGGAGCACCAGGAGCCCCCAACCCGCCCAGCGCAGGCAGCCCCTCGCAGCCACCACCAAAGTAAGTCTGCACCTCGCTGGGGATGGGAACATCCACACACCTCGGCCCCAACCACATTGGGGATGGAGGGGCCAGGGCTTGCCCGGGCTCACAGGCTGGTTTGGTTGCCAGTGGTCTTGGGCCAGCTGCTGCCCTGCCCACAGGGGAGATGTACTGGGTTGTCTGAAGAAGAACCATATAACAGGTAGAAGTTGCAAAAGTTTATTATTTTTCCTCCCTTATCTTCCCTCGCTGAGTTTTACCTTTAAATGTCATGGCTGCAACCCAGCCCCTGACAGAGAGGATGAGCAAATAGCAGCCTTTGGAAGGGAGGACAGACTTACTCGGGAGGTAATCAGAGATGTGAGCAGACGTAACCGGCTGAAGCACCGCTCCCCAGAGCTACGTCTCCCTGGGGAAATCTTTGTTATTTCAGGCACCCCGCTAAATACCAAAATGCAACACCACACACCCCAGCTGGCAGTGAGAGATTTCTGTCCTTGCTGCCAATCTTCCCCAGCCCTTTCCTGGCCCATTTGAAACACACTAATCGCTATGACTTTGCAGATCACTCATGCAATGCCCCCGAGAGCAGCTGCTCCTCCTGGCCACCCCCAATTCAGCACGGTGGGTATGGCGAGGACCTCCCTGGCTCCCCGTCCCTGCCCCAGCCACGAGGGCTGCTCCTGGCAAGGAGGGCTCACCGGGGAGCTGCTCCTGCATCACCCGGCCATGCTGCTCGGGCATTAAAGCTCACTGTCAAAAGAACAGCAGACAGAGGAATCTCAGCATGGGAAAGATCTGCCCCACCAATACCAGTTTCACTGGTTCAGCTGAGTCACTCCTGGTTGGTGTTGTGCAAACATGCCCAGAGCTGCACCCTGGCACCAGCACGTTCCCAGGCAGCTGCCACGGCGGTCAGGTCCTGCCCTGTGGTCTCCTGTCTCTGCCAGGAGCTTAGGGCTGGCACAGGAGACTTGAAACAACGATTCAGGGCTGAGCCTTTCTGCTGCTACCACGTGCTGTGCAGGGGGAGGAACGGGAACTGCCTGCCTAGGGGGTCCTATCAAAGCTCCAGAATATCACCTTTCCCTTAAAATAACAGCTGGATCCTTACTGGGGGTATGAGGTGAGGGAAAGGGGACATCTTCTTTCACTAATGCCTTCATTAAGTGTGTATGAAGGAAAAGCAGAGCATTAGTCATGTGGCCTGAAATAGGAGCCAGGACTTTGCAGAGGCCCCGAACAGGAAGATCAGGGCAGGCACCTGGGTGTATTAGGGAGAGGAATCAAACTCCTCCTTTGAGCAAAGAAGTTAAGCTCCTTCTCAGCAGATAATTGCTGCGTGTTTGATTGCAGTCAGGGGAGCTGCACAGTTGGCACTAGCAGGGCCCTGTGCCTTTCTGGCAGGTTGGGCACACCAGCCCCTCGGCTGCTGGGGGTGCAGGGGTGGGCTGCACCTCTCTAGCACAGAGCAGCCCACAGCTCTGAGCTCTGCTTTCCCAGGGAAAGCTGGCCCCGGGCAGGGCGCAAGGAGCGTGTGGCTCACCAGAGGACAGATCTGGCTGGGAAATGTGGATGATCTGGAGGCACGGGTGATGTCCAGCTCACAGCTGAGAAACTGCAGAGCTTTGTCCCCTCCTTGCAGCAAGGTTGGCTTTGCTGGAGAGCCCTCTGTGTTGTAAACCTGCCCCAACTCCCTCAGCTTACCTAAGGCTGCTTATGGTTCCCATCAGGAGGTTTTCTGGCACCTTGCCAGTTCACACCCCAGCCTTGTCCCTTCAGCAATAATCTTTCTCCTTGGCTAATCCCCTTTTTTCTCCTACGTGCATTTGCAGATGTAAAGGCAGAGGTACTGGCAGCTCCCCAAGCCAGAGCCTCCCTTCCCAGGAACAATGACACTATCCAAGACCAGCCCTGCCGGTCCTGAGGGTAAAAGCCCTTGTGGTCCTTCCCTGAAGGCCACGAGCTTTCTTCCCACCAGTTGCCACAGGGAATCCATTTGCTGGGAATCCTGCAGCCCAGGGACTGGAAAATATCAGCAAATGGCTCCTGTATCTGCTCTCAACACAGAAGAACAATGATAGAAAATGTCCCAATCAGTCTCTTGTTACTAGAATTTTCTAGCTGGCAGAAAAAAAAAAAAAAAAACAAAGACTGTCAATGTGTATCAGATGCTCCTGGCACTTCTGGGCCATGGAGTGTCAGGGGAAGAGCATGAGCCATTGCATCCTAGCAGCAAATCGGATTTTTGTACTGTGAAACCAAATTGTGCTCCCAAAGATTTTGGTATACATTCAGAAAATTTCCATGAGTAAAATTAGTTCTTGAGCTGGAGTAAGGAGTCTTAGAGCTTAGTTCTGTGAAAATCCCATAATGTTTTGTACAACCCTCCCCTCCGCGCCCACTGCCTGGTGAAGCTGCCCTTACCGGGCAGACAACACACCAGTGTGATGTGCAGCACCCACGGAGCAGAGGGCTGCAGGGCCCGCAGCTGGGTCCCCCCGCCAGCAAACCCCGACCGTCACAGAGAGCAATGACAGCAGAATCACAAACTCCGCGTGTGCGGGGAGGAATCTGCCCGACCCCTTCCTGTGACAGCTTAAACTGAACCAGAAATAAAGATGGATGAAAAGAGGCTGTTTGGGAGCCTGGTGTTTTTTCTTCTGGAAGGGGTTTGCTGTCATGGTGTCTGAAGAGACTGATGGTTTGGTTCATGTATCAGCAGCACTGGGGCTCGTTGCTGAGGCTAGCCTTGTTGCTCGTGTAGGAAGAGATGGATCTTATCTAACTCTTCCTTGTGATAGAAACAATAGGGGAGGGAGCAGAGTCATTCTGCACCCCTGAGGACAGCTGGCTGGAAGCTCCTGGATCACCAGGGCTCAGCCTCTTGCTGCCACCGAGTGATGATTTGGCCTTCAGCACCAAAACTTTTCTGGTACAATATGGCATGAGGGGGGAGATGCTCAGTGGCAGGATGGGAGGTAAACAATGAAGGGATGTGCACAAACTAGTGGCCTTAATTTTAAAACCTTCCTGGCTTTGCATGGGGTGGAAGTCCCATTCTGAGCTTTGTTAAGGTGGGAGAAGCACAAGACCTCCCCTCGGGCTGCAGGGCTCTGCAGAAGATGGGAAGGGAGGGAGGGAGGCAATCACAGAATCATCTAGGATGAAAAAGCCCTTGAAGCTCCTCCAGCCCAACCATGAACCTCACACTGACCGTTCCCAACTCCCCCAGATCCCTCAGCACTGGGTCAACCCGACTCTTCAACCCCTCCAGGGATGGGGACTCCCCCCCTGCCCTGGGCAGCCCATTCCAACGCCCAACAGCCCCTTCTGCAAAGAAATCCTTCCTAAAAGGCACAGAACAGACACAAATCTCCCATGCACACTCAGTCACAGCAAGGCTAGAAAACACAGACCTTATGGCTCTTTATTCTGACCATTGCCACTTCCTAGGACAGCTATCACCACCAAAGCATGGGGTCAGGTGGTCAGGTAAACATCAGTGCATGCAATCACATGAATTTCATGGAAATGCCTGGCTCTAGGGACAGAGGAGGACATCAACTGCTCCTGGGCCATATAGCACTTCTTCAGTCACAGGCACCACCTGAGCACACAACCTCTTGTAGGCTTACAGCGCTTTGTGTCCCATTCCCCCATGGACTCCATGCAAAGGCTGAAGTCTCCTGCTCATCACTGGCTCCTCTTACATGCTGTGTGCAACCACAGTGGGGAGAAAGTAGGACAGGAAAAACAAATGAAATTAGCCTGTCCCAAAGTGGAGCAGAAAGCGGAGTCTGAAAAGAGCTGTGCTCCAGGATGCCCTACCCAGTGCCTTCCTTAAGGCTTAATCCCATGGATCATGAAGCTGTCCATCACTGTCCCCCCAAAGAGGCATCAGAAGCAGCAGGTACCAAGCACCATCCCAAGATATCTCTTAAGTGGAAAGTTTGCCCAGTCATCAGCTGAAACATTGTCCATGTCTGTCACAGGACAAAGCTCACTATCACTGACAACTACATGACACAAACATAATCCAGAGCAAACATCACATGTGCAACACTGCTATACACAGATTTTTCCTACCTTGTACTAAATAAACCCCACGTACTTAATTTTGAAGACATGGGGCTTGTGCCTGCAAGTACTCCCCATCACTTTCCAAGGCCCCCAAGTAAGAGCAGAGGGAAATTTTCCAAGGGAGCTCCAGGTTGTCCCTGGATTGTTTCTGACCCTCAGAGCAGCTCCTTCACACCAAGTCAGTGAGCAGGCAGAAGGTCTCAGGGTAAACATCTTTCTGGTGAGTGTCTTTGCATGTTTTATTAGAGTCATATTTCCACTCGTTCATCCAGATAAATCCAGGATGAGCGATTACAGCCTTCTTCTCTGCCCCGTGGCTTCTTCACACTGTTGTGTATGGACAACTTTTAGTTCAGTGTTTTCCAGCCCCCTGCGGTTACCTGCCCATGAACCAGCTCTGGTGTGTGTTGAGTGTGGTGATCTCGATGAACTGGCAGAGACAGGGCACACTGCTGTGCTCCATATGCCCCCCTGCCATAGCCCGAGGGAGCTGGCCGGTGACCAGGAGCCGGACGTAGCATCCGCTGAAGATCACCAGGAGCTGCTGGGCCATCACCTGGAAAGAGCACAGGAGGTGTCAGAGCAGAGCATCTACCTGCAGGAAGAGTGGATGATGCATTAAATACCATTTGCTCCCTCGTTCAAGGACTGTCCTTGTCTGAAAGAAACAGGACAGGAGCCAATGGCATATATAACTGTCCCAGATCCCCTCTGATCAGCAGTGCTGGCACACTGTCCCCATGGGGGAGTGACATGAAATGACCACTCAGTGGTGGGTGACCGAGGAGCCAGGCTGCTCGGGGACCTGCCTGCTCTGTCACTGCCTCCGGGTGCTTGCTTTTGCCTGTAGACAGCCAGAGAGCTTCAATCTGCAGGGATGCCACCTGCACTGAATTTGCTTAGTAACAGCAAGTGGAAAACCGTAAAATAAATCAAAATCATCCTTTTTGAAGCTTCTTGCTGAGCGGGAACGAGGACACATTTGTTGTTCAGCACGGCACAAGTCTTTGAAGGTATGCTCCAAGGAGGAGACAAAGTCTGAGCACAGCCATGCCTCATCCCCAGCCTGGACACAGGCTCTGGGTCCCTGCATGGACCCCGGGAGAGGTTGTTTTCCAAATGGAGACCCCTGGCCACCAGCAAGGAAAAGCCAAATCCATGAATTCCTCAATGGTTAAGCACTAGCTGCTCAGTAAGCATGGACTGCTCAGCAGCGTCAGGGCTGGAGAAGGTGTGTGGACCTCTGGGCTTTCAGGTGCTCTTACTGGTGAAAAAGGAGGTGTCCCCATGGCTGGGACGAGTTTTGGAGTCGAGGTGCCTGGAGAGGTGATTCGGCACCTCTGTCCATCAGGAGGGATATTTCTCATTACCTCCGGTGGGCCCTCAGGAACAAGGTGGAGCAGCTCATTGCACGTCACAGGTTCTTTATTTAGGTTCACTCCACTGGATAAAAGAGGGGACTCTTCACACGAAGCCTCCTCCTCCCGCCCCGGGTCAGGCCGAACCACCTCCTCCATAACCACACAGAGCTGATCCAGGCTGTGCCGCAGGCCCGACTAGAAGAGAAAGAGATTTTGGGGGTCCACGATTTCCTCCTGCATGCTTTTCACTCCTGGGAGTTATCACAAAACAGCACTGGCCCAGAGCCATGCCCAGCACTTGGAGCTGAGTGTCTTCATCCCACAGCCCTGCTGCCATCAGCTGCCTCTTGTGCCCACAACTGCTCCCTGCACAATGGTCACAGCCTGGCACAGAGAATCTTGTCTTTAAAAACCGTATCACTTGTATCAGCTAATATGTGAACTGGTGTGTTACTGTCCATGCCCCGATCTGCATCTGTCAGTTCATCCATGGAGATGAGCAGCCTTGAGATTTTCAGAGGGTGGTACCCCCTCACCTCTCATCCCATGGCCATGGTCAGCAAGGGCAGTTCAGTGCAGGAGAGCACAGTGTTTGTATATTTATACACCAGTGTAGAGGAAAACATTTTCTGAAGGCCAAGAGGACGAAATTTTTATACAGTTAACCCAGTGCAGTGTTTACTTATTCCTCAGGCTATCCCATTTATTACAGGAGGACAGCTCAAGGTGTTGGCTATTTCAAGTTGTGACACGTGCTTTCAAAATTTGCCCTTGATTCTTGATGACTTTCCTTTATTAAAGTTGTTCAGTTAATTATCTAGACATGCACATACCACAGGGCCTAAACAAATTCCTCCTGAATTGGGCACTAACAGATGCAGTTTATCCACCTCCCAGTCTGTCCCACTCCCAGTTCACAGCAGGGGATGCCCAGGAGGACATTCAAACACTTGGTTCTCCTTGCCCACCTCCATCCCCACAAAGCCTGGGTGCAGGAGTGGACCGGTACGTGGGCTGTGCCCACCGGCACTTACCTCTCGTGTCCTCTGCATGTCCGTGATGTGGGCTGACAAGGACTGGAGGCAGCGCTCCGGGCTGAAGTGCACAAACCACAGCTGGGACAGGCAGGGTTAAGGAAGGGGTCTTTCCAGCTTCCCCCTCCACAGCCCTCTGCCTCCATGCAGATCGTGGTATGGACCCCACAGGAAGCAGAGCGCAGGCAGGGGATGCCCACAGGGTCCTCAGAACACAGGAACCAAATAACACATTGCATGGCTAATTTAAGCCAAGAGGGTCTGGGCTAGGGCAAAACCTTGAGGTAGAGGGCAAGAGAAGAGGGGTGGCAGGGAAGGAGGACATTGCTCCAGAGGGCAGTCACACCTCCTGCACCCTGGGAGGGTGACAACTGGGATAACCCAGGGCCATTGCCCATCATTCATCTCAGTGGCCTTACATCTAAATAAACTGGTGGGTCACATTGACTTAACTTCCCTAAAACCTCTTCCTGCTTTCTTTCCTTTGTTTCTAGGGATTTTTTTTCCATATATTTTTTACAATATTTACTATACTTGGTGCTTGTGTGCAGGACAGAGGCACTGTTTGCAGAGAGACTACCAAGAGCAACGTGTTGGGGATGTGAGTCCTGTTAGCTTTGAGAGCAGCAGGCCCCAGAAGGCAGCCAAAGGTCTGCCCTTGTATATCTGCTCAAGTTGCCATCATCAAGGGGATTCAGGAGTGGTGTAAAAGCTAGAGGGTTAAACCAGATCTGACACTGGAGCACGCTGAGATCATCAATCCTTGGGTTGTTTTCTGCTCTCAGGCAGTTCTGGGACATGCAGACGTGAAGGCTCCTTGGATTAGCCCTCCCTTACTAAGGGCCAAAACTATGCTTGTCTGACCAATGTGTAATTAAGTTTTTAAGTGTTTTCCCCTCATTCTGTATGACTTCACCCCTGCCCCCTTCTCTGACCCCAGATTTTAGCCTTGGTTCCCTCTCCATTTCTATTTCATAACCTCTCTGCATATATGGGGTGGGGGCACAGGGATACACACATTCACCAACAAATCCATCTCTCTCACCTTCCTTTAAGGCCTTCATGTTGTCTTAAAACTATTTTCTTTCCCCTAAATCTTTGTCTAGTCCAGAAGAGGTATCTCTAAAAAGCAGCAAATGAGCCTCCCCCTACCTGGT